TGAACCTATATCAGCTAGCAATGCCCGTCGGGGGAGGCGGTGGTTAGGCATGCGCAGCACGTGACCTAGCCATCTTAGTCTATGTAACTTTATAGCCTCGTCGATTGATTTTCCCTCTTTGCCCAACACTCTACGCCTAACGTCAACATTACTTATCTTGTGAAACCACCTAACGTGAGACAGAGATCGCAGACATCTATGATCGAAAGCAGTCAACCTTTTCATGTCTTCAACGCGTATTGGCCATGTTTCAGAGCCATAGAGAAGGACGGAGCGAACTGATGAGCAGTACACACGTCCCTTGGTTGATAACCGGATGTCACGCCTACGCCAGAGATGGTGTAAGTCAGCGAAAGCAGCTCGAGCTTTTCGGATCCGTGCTGAGATTTCATCGCCAATCAGTCCGTTGGTGCTAATACAACTTCCCAAGTAGGTGAAGTGGTCAACATGTTCTATCACTTCACTCCCTATCACTAAGTTAGGGGTTGACGTGGTCCAGTCCTGTAGCAGCATCTTACATTTTGCAGGGGCGAATCGCATGCCAAACATACGAAGATTGCTGCTCAAGGTGTTCAGAAGACTCTGCATTTTGTCAGCATCCTCCCCTAACAGGACTATGTCATCTGCATATTCTAAGTCCATTAGATTATTCCCTGGTAACAAGTCGATTCCTAAGTCACTACGTTCAGTTAAGGATACTTCCATTAGCATATCTATGATGAAGTTAAACAGAAATGGGGAAAGTGGACATCCCTGTCGGACACCACTGGTTGTTACCAATTCAGATGACAATTCCCCATAAGCCCTTACACGACTACGTGAGTTTGAATAGAGTGCCTTGATTAGTGCAATGTACTTTCTTGGCACTCCCTTCACAGTCAGACATTGCCATAGTACCTTTCGATCCACGGAGTCGAAGGCCGCCTTCAAGTCAAGAAATATGACAATTGTTGGACGCCGAAAAGTGTGTCTATGTTCTAGAATCTGTCGAAGAGTGAAGATATGATCTATGCACCCTCTACCTGGTCTAAAGCCTGCTTGATTTTCCCTTGTCTGTTCCTCCCGAGTTCTGCTTAGTCTATGCATGATTACTGAGCCTAGGATTTTAGAGACTATGTTCGTTAGGCTGATCCCCCTATGATTATCACACGAGGACTTGTTTCCCTTCTTGAATATCGGTATAATAAGTGACTTACCCCAGTCTGATGGAACTGTCTCTGATTCCCAGACTTTGCCTAGTACCTCAGTTAATCTACAAACTAGTATGTCACCCCCATTTTAAACACCTCCGGAATAATTCCGTCGGGTCCTGCCGCTTTGCCTCGTTTCAAATTACTGATAGCTTTTGTAACCTCACCTACAGACGGCGGACCAGTGTCTATATCCCATTCGGGTACGTGGTGGATGGCGGGGAGGTTCAGTGTGGCTGTAGGCAAGTTAAATTGTTCCTCAAAGTGTTCTTTCCAGCGTTCAAGGCGTCTATCCTGAGAGCTAATTAAGGAGCCATTTTTCTCAGAAATAGTCTCACTTATGAATTGCCTTCTCCCACCCGATTCTGTGATGAGTCTAAAGAGTTGCCTAGTGTTGCCTATCGCCAATGCTTTTTCCATCTCTTGCCTTTGTCACCCACCACTGTTCACGGTCCTTGCGGAGACTTTTAGTAAGTTTCCTTTTGTGCAGCTTTCGCTCCTCATTGAATTCGGAGCTCGCCGGAATAAGTCTTCTAGCATCTATCAGTTCGGATGAGGCAGTCGAAATCCAGTGGTTTTTACTCACCTTTGGATTTGCCTTATTCACAGCTTTTACAGCTGTATCTATAGCTGACTGAATATTCTTCCAGGCTTCTCCAGGGTGAGCACAGCTGTCGAATTCAGATATGCGTTTAGCTAGTTCTTCCTCAAATAGGGATTTAGTTTCCTGATCGAGCTACCTTAAGAGTAGGCAAAAGTGAAAAGGTAGGGCATGCTGACCACTTCAGTTATTAGGGAGGTTGCATCAGCCTCAACGGACTAATTGCTGACGAAATCTCAGCACGGATACAAAAGCCCCTTTTAGGATTTGTTAGCATGCTCCATTTCTGGCGCAGACGTGATATCTGGCTATCAGCCAGAGGACGTGTTCACTGCTCAGCAGTTCTCTCCGTCCTCCTTTATGTCTGTGAATGAGACAGCTGTTTAAAGTGGAAGGCATAAAAAGGCTAGCTGTCTTTGATCATAGGTGTCTGCGTTCTATCTCTCGTGTGAAGTGGTATACTAGGGTAAGCAGTATTGAGGATAGACTCCAAGTGTTAGGCAAGATTGCGAAGTTACACTGATCAAGATGGTTAGGGCACATGCTACAGATGCATCGCTAGTCACTGCCTTCCTCGACGGAAATGTTAGCTGCTGACATGGGATTGATCAGGTGGGAAAAGAGAGAGCCAGTGGTGGTCAAACCGAAACATGGTTTCATCAGTTAGTGTAATCCATAACAGTTAGTTTGATTCAGTCACGTAGGGAAGTGTATACTGGCTTCCTGGTTGGGGTCCTCGGGATGGGAAGAACCAATGACTATGGAGACAATTGGTGATGTAGCTCGAAATCGTTCCCAATGGCTGGCGCAGATGCATTCGCTCTTTATGATCTCCCATATCCACTAAATAATCATATTTTTCAATGTTTTTCTATTCTTTCTCCTGTACGTTTCTACTTATTATTGTCCATTTCAATCTCTTTTTGCCTCATTGTGATAAATTGAACTAGTGTACTTCTGTTCAAAGTTCTCTGTTGAAACCAGTATGTCAGTGTGATGTTGTTTATTCGGCTGTTACCTTGAGACTTCATTCTTCTTCTAACTTTGAAGACTTATACTGTTTCCTCAGCGCCTTCATTTTAGTTATGTAACAAGTATCAAAAAACTATAGAATCATCATTTTAATTTCTATTGGAAAATAAATATTGCAATTAGTTTGGATAATACATCGAGGATTTTTTTATAACGATAAAAAGAGAAGATACACATTCTAGTATCACTTACATTTGAAAATTTTATTTAAGCTCACCGACTACTGTTGTAATGTTTTTTATGTTCATGAGGGAAAGCTGTCATTTTCTGCATTTGTACAAACTTGTTCTTTGTATATTTATTGATTAGATTCTATTTGAGAGAAAAGAACCAAAAGTTCGGGAAATATGGTGATCTTTCCAGCGATTTCATTCTCAAAACCCCTAATACAATCGCATTTGTATACGTAACTTTTACATAGTTACAATTATTATTTAATTCCACATGTGTGTGTGTGTTTGTGTGGAATGAGAGTGAAACTGCCAAAAAGATATCTTTGCTGAACTTCTTGTTCTTATCTCTCTAATGTCCCTGTGGATTCTAATTCACATAAGAAACTATTCCACGGCTGTGTATTTTATTCAACCAATATATTTCGGGTTCTCTAGAGAGAGAGAGAGAAATACGGAGGTAGGTAAGTTTAGTCCTACTGGTTCTCTCTAACAACAATAACAACTTTGGAATTGTGTACACAAGACCTAGTGATGCCGAATATGTCTATCCAATTGCCTTGATATGTATTTCCTCTTCGGTAGCATTTCAAAATACTTTATATATTGGTAAATCTTGGCAAATTTTGTGTAGGTGAATATGTGCTATTTTCCAGTCAATTTCATGACATATTCACAATTATGAAAAGAAGTAAAATATTCGAAGGAGTTTGTTATTCCAAAGCTCTACTATACAGTTTCCACACAGTTAGAAAGCTTAGAATCTTTCACTAAACCATACTTAAAACAACCGTGGTGTTGTTGTTGTGTATAAACTGAACTACTTGGGATAAGTAGTCTGGTAAGCGGATTGTATTTATGTATCTGTCTACACTGTCTGTCTCATAAATTGTGTTCTAAATTCACCAACGCAAAATGTTTTATTTTTAGACAATATTCCCCAATCATGTATGTCAGTCATATTGACAATCTCTAACACTGTTGTTGAATTCAAGAGAATTCGGTTCTACTACTTACTCATATTTTTGAATTGCTACACTATTTGAAGTGAACGTCCTCAATATTCTGCGTAACTTTTGTGAAAAACAAACAAACTATTAGCACTAAAACACAACAGTGGCGGGTTGGTGTAACTAATTTCAAGTTCTCTTTTGACTCCGTTTTGTCGGGAAACAGTATTATTTTTTTTATTTACCAAAAAAAGGCTAGAGCATTTAATCTGGATCTGAGACATCAAGCAACCATTAGTTATTCGAGTTTACAACAAAATAACTTTGATATTTGGAACTTCAAACAATTCACATGGCAGTGAACAACTTGTTTTGAATATCTCTATTATTATTATTATTATTATCATTATTGTTATTTATGAACCATGAGGAAAATACCTTTTTTTTAAATTAAGAAATCTTTTCACTTCCTTAGTGTAACAAAACGTATTAACTATCAGTTTATTACCCAACTTGCTGTCAGTAGAAGAAGTTTACGGTATTGATAATTATTCTTCATTGTTAAATAGAAGTACACTGAAGATATGAATACCTTTCTTCTATTCCCTTCCTTTCCCGGAGACTTGAAGTTTCGGTGCCAGTGGTGTTTATTTTTTTATAGGATAGGGTTGTTAGCCAGCCTCATGCCCAACCTTCCCTCTTTACCAGTTTTGTGACTGGCTTAGCAAGCTAGAGGAGTGCGTTGGCAGTCGGGGATCGAAGCCCGGGCCACATGATGGGTGGTTGGCGAGCATTCTACTGCTGTGCCACTGACGGACGCTCTATACATGAGTACTAATAATACTAATTACACAGTGAATAGTGAGCGCTGTTCACTGTACCGTTTCAGATGCATAGTACTAAGGTAGTTTATCTTTTTTCCTAAGAGGTTTATTTTGGTTGATGGCAAACGAATTGTTAGAAATGGTACTCCATACTGTTCTTTATTGTCATTTTCTATACTGTTTACAACAATGTTTTTTTTTCTAATTAAGAAATCTTATTATTTGTTTTGTAGAAAATCAAATGAATATGGAACAAATCCTGAAAGAATAATTAGCGCTCCTGTTTGGCCTCCTCTAAGTGGAAATTCATCCGGCATAAACCTTAAGACTATCCCATGTTCTACAGAACGTTATTCTTATAAGCTGGAAGGTCAACCTTCAAATTTAAATGTCTTTCAACCTGATCCAACAAAACGTAGTCATCGTAATCAACCAGCTCCACAGTTATCGCGTATATTAAGACCACGACGTTTTGTTTGCAGAAAATGTAAGAAAGCTTTCCATCTTGAAGAACAAGGCACGGAACTGTCTTCAACTGCTCTCAACGATCAATCAGATCGTCGAACTTCTGATTCATCTGCTATGAATTCAGATAGTGAAGTGAATCAGTATCCCTTAAAAAGTGATAATGGCGAACAGAGTACGTCAGCATCATTCAACGGAAACTCACAGTCCATTCGCCATGTTACCCCATCAATCATCCCCAAATTAAATGAAGAATTTGATGTGAATCTGAATGACCCATCAAAAACTCATATTATTTCCAGCACCGAAACCCTACCAAAATCCAAAAAAAATTTACAATCAGAACAATCATCAAAAATCTCAGAATTGTCAGAAACAAAATCAACTGTACTGAAGAAGCGCAAGGTTGATGCTGTTTCCGAAAAACAGAAATTGAAAAAAATTAAACTTGGTCCTCAAAAACCACCTGAACCTGTCAACAGTGGTAGTACGGTAACATCCACAATCACTTTGGATGCACCCTCCGAACCCATACTGCCTGTTTCTACAGAAGAAGTTAAAGACGTCCCCACTTCTTCGAACTCGGTGCCTAAACCAGTCGTGACTGATTCTCCTATATCTCAGGAACAAATTCGTAAAAATCGTATTAAAGCTCAGTATGTTTCTGTCGCCTCTCCTTTCCGCTTTCCTTTTGGAAAAAAGTCAAAAATTTCACCTGCTCAAACGAGTGGAAATCTCAACGCTGCTGGTGATACCAAAGTGAAATCTGAAACCAATTCTACTCGTAAACATTCTGAAAAACCAGAAGGAAACTCAGTGACATCTCCAAAATCAAGTATTTCTTCTGTACGGCAGAATTCTCGGTATCGTACACGTACTCAAAGTAATTCAGCTTCCGCTGTTCCTGATCCATCAGACCTCTCAAGTTCTGTGAATGATGTGGAAGAATCCCCTAAGACAAATGAAGTTTCACCTCAACACACTGATTCATCACAAAAGGATAATAATTTATGTAGTTTAAGTCCGCGTCTGTCAGGTTCATTATCAGTATCATCTAAGGAGAAACATTCAACTTCAGTACAACCGACTCCCAAAGCGTCGATATCTGGAAATTCTTCCGTATCGAATAATACTGGGACTCCAACCAATGAGGGTAATTCTTCTACTCAGGGTCGGCGTAAAGCTTTTGATTATGAAAAGCCGAAAAATAGATGGATGCGTGAAGCTCGAGCGAGAAGAAATCAAGAAGAACGGAGTAGTAATTCTATTTCCTCTGTAACAAATCATGGTACATCTTCATCCACTAGTACAGATACAGAAAATTCTGCTACAACCAATATACAATCTTCTAGCGTAAGTCGATTAAGAATTCGTTCGGGCGATGCGTCTAATTCGAACCCTAACGAAAATGCGTCAAAATCCGTCGGTAATATGTCGTCAAAGGTTAAACTTCCTAACGGGTCTTCAAATAGTCGCCATACTGAAACTGGAAATTCTTCACTAACTGACAAGTGTTTAGATGACAGTGATGTGATTTCTGCAGTAAGTTCCCATGTCTCCCCATGTTTGACTCAATCTACTGACAGCACTAGTCTTACTCTCCCTGTTCTGAAAATTAAAATCAATCGAAATCGTCAACCTTCTGGTTCCTCAAAAAATGCACCAACTCATTACGAAGTAGTCAAAACTCCGATAGCTGATGCGCATTCAGAAACAGCTTCTCAGATTTCCAATGAAGAAAGTCATTCACATACTCATGTGGATACTTTCTCCTCTCCAGTGCAGAAATCGGACATATCATGCAATGGAATAAGAAGTCCATCACCTGTTCACTCTTCTGGATCTTCAAAGAAAGGTTATACCGGTGAAAATACGATAGCAACTGGTCCTTTAGTGAAGCGCTGTAAGCTAGCTGATGATGTTGTTTTTCGTGTTGGTGATCTTGTTTGGAGTAAACTTTCAGGATGGCCGTATTGGCCTGCCCAGATAACTAGTATACAACGCATAGGTAGTGAAGTGGAGCCATCAAGCCTTGAAAAAGAACCTGTCACCAAAGATTCACATGAGAAGATATCAGAGCAAGTTTGTTTCGTTGCTTGTCTTCATTGGTTTGCTTGGCATCAGGTTTCTTACATGCCGTGCGATAAACTGTATCATTTCCTCGAGCATTGTAAACGATTTGATAATAAAAAGAAACGAGGTGTTTTCCGTCAGGCAGTTAACGAAGCAAAACAAGCTGCTGAAAAAAGACAAGAAATCCATTCGACTGATAGTGAAAGTGAATGGGAAAACGAGATGGAGTGTAATACCCCTCATCAAGAGCCAGTTGCTGAACAGCCTACAGAAATCTGTGTCCCTGATAATTCTCAACAGTCAATCCAAGTATCTCAACTTGAATCATCAGTACAGTCTATACCGGATATGAAACATGGAGAAGAAGCTGTTATCACCGCGGAATTAAGTGCACCTCTTCCTCCCAAAGTTAAAAAAGGCAAAAGCAAAGAAAGCAAAAAACGTAAAAGTTCATTATCTTCTAACACTATTAACTCTCCAACTAAAGTATTATGTGATGAATCAACCACTGACGAATGCAGTCATCAACATGTTGCATCATCGTCATCAAAAGCACCAAAGTCTCGTTCACTGTGTAAACGTGAATCAAAGCGTAAAGCTCAAAGTATACTGGCTAATAATAAAATCTCTGAAGATGAAAATTCATCCCCGAAAGAATATGGTTCTTCCTTTACAAGTTCTGAATCGAATGTCCGTCTGAAAATTATTCTTTCCAAGCCTAAGCTGAAGACTACTGAAATTAATCAAGAAGCATCCAATCCTATTGAAATTCAAAATTCTTGTCCACCAGATTCAAGTGATCCTGTCACTCCCACCGTCCAGTCACAAATTGCTGAAGATCCATTAAGGCAAACATCAGAGAGCCAGTTATCTGAAGACAATCAAAAATCTTTCTTGACTACTGCTGATTCACAAGATTTTGATAGAACATTTGGTGCTACACATTCAGAACTCTTAACACAATTTCCGCATGTATTTCCTGATCTTAAAGTTTCTGGTATTTTGTCTGACACTGTCGATATACCTACATTTTCTGAGGATGAATCAGAGGAGGAAGATGCTGGTCGTCTAATAATTGATCCTGATGTAATGGCTTCAGTTAATGTTCCCCTGTCAACTAATAATCACTACATGACTGAAACTTTAAAACCAGAGCCGGATATACTTCGTGAAGATTTGTATAGTCTTTCCTCAAATAATTTACCTTACAATCGTGCATTACCCTCGCATACCTTTGGTAATATTCATTCGTACTCCCAAACTCCCCTAGCCACAATTTCAGACCATTCAATAAAGAGTTTTCCTGCTCCAGCGTATCCGTCTGATTCATTCTCACATCACTCATATGATTCTTCATCTTATCGTACAGAATGCTTAATATCCAAACCAGTCCCAGCCTATCCATTTCCTAATCAATCAACAGCATCCCTTAGTAGACTACCACCTCCACCTCATTTAACTCCATCAAATGTACCAATCCCCAACAGAACTGCATATTTCCAATCTAGTCATCTAGGAGGAGTTCCCTCAACAACAACAACAGCTCATTCTGTGCCTTACATAACCACTGAGTATTCCAGTTTATGATAAATAGTGAGTTAATGACATTTTTTAAAAGTTGGGCAGTTTTAGTTTAACAGTCTCTAACTAATTCCTTTATTTTGGTAGCTGATATTATTTCATACTGACGAAATATGCGAATACTACCGCTACAAAACAGCAACTAGTTAATTGGTTAGTCTACTTGAATTTCTGTCGTGTCTAAGGTTTGTTAAGGTTGGTGATTGTCAAACTACTAAAACATAGCTTAAAACTAAAATTCCAGTTATGTACTGTGTTACTAGAAAACTTGTGTATATACTACACCTGATATGACGATGTAATTTGTATCTCTGTGTAAAGAGATAAACCAGAATATCCACCAGTCAGTCCAGCATCAGATGTCTTCACTTTCCCTTTCTATTTTGTGCGGGACACCACCCACCACATGAAGGCAGTGAATAGGACTTACTTGACAGGGGCTATCAAGGTGTTATCAAATGAAAGAAAGCATTTGTACAGAAAGACCGAAGTCCAACCCCCCTCGACTGTACCAGGTCGTTTATGGGGGCATTAATTTTTTGAACAGTACGCAAGTGATTACAACGATCGACATACATTTATTGAAGAGTTTATAACTTATCGAAGTTTGAACCGAAATTACTGTGGTGAGAGGTGTCTGCCAGCCAAAACTGTAGACACCAGCATACGTCAATGTTTACGTCCCGAATTGGGGTCAGGAGGGAAAGCGAGAAAGAAAAGCCTCACCTTGGGGAACTCAACCAATCACAGCAAACTTAGCGTGGGCGGATACTATTCGCAGATATATCACCGGACTGTCTAAGAAACGGCAACAAAGAGATGACAATAACCTTCAACAGGAAAACAACCAATCAAAAGACGCTGTTTCTCTGCTAACAATAACGCTAATAATAATATACATAAAAATCTATAAATACCTGTTGATTTTCTCTATAGACGATCTGTTGCCCGGCCCTTGTCTTCTGTCGTTACATTACTACTCTCTGACAGTATATATAACACATTGCGGTAGTCAACGTTAAGCATAAGTCTTTCACATCATGATAAAAACAGGTAGTGTATATCATCATTTCTGCCATTTGGTGGCAGTCATTTTATTTCAATAATCTAGTTGTAGATATATCTTTAAGAATGTGAATGACAGTAGTATGTCTAATGAAAAAAACAGCAACTGAAAAATTGTTTTCTAGATGTGAGATTAAAAAAATTTTTTTTTGTCTTTAAAAGTTTTGCAATTCTTTTCTTAAGATTTATCACCTGCCAATATCTCTGTGTTTCTATGTAGGTGTGTTGTTTTTACTATTGTGAGAAATACCTCCTCGTACCTCCTGTGATCTCAGCGCATATCACTACCATATGATATTGGCAGTAATAATGCGTTGCATCAATCACTACTCCTATATGTATGTATACACATATTCGACAACAGATTTTTGAAAAGATTTATCCATTCTGACACCCCCAAACATCATCAAAGATATTGATATACTGCTTAGTTCCATTTCAATTGAAAACTAATTCTGATATATGAATATATATATATATATATATATATATATATATATATATTCATAATTTACTTACTTTATTATTTATCATTTCAAAATTTTCTTTTATTTTCAATCTGCTTGTGATCATTTCAAATTTGCCAAATATGTACATACCTATACATATACACACACATATATATATATATCTCGTGGAGTGACTGAGGTTTCCCTCCTCAGTCAATGTTAATTACTATCAATATTGCTAATGTCATTATTATTGTTATTATTACTTCCTGAAATAAGTGTAAATTAATTTGATTTCCCTGTGTATTTCTCATGTGGTTTTTGAGCTGATTCTACTACAGCCCCCCACCCTACCCATCTACGACGAGTTATGACTTGTTGTGTCTTCCTTTTTTGATTTTGTTAATTCACTACTTCTACACCATATATATATATATATATGAAATAAAGATAAAAAGTCCTTACAAATTTATACTAAACGATATGTTGCCTGTTTTCCTTGCCGGAGGTGTCTAACTTATATATATATATATATATATATGTTTATATTCATAGAATATTCTAGATTAGTAGTCAATATCAACACTAGTGTTTTTTAAGTATTATCCATTTGTAAAGTAAAATCGATAAAGTAAAATCATTAAAGATGCTTAAATTGCAATAATAATAATAATAAAGATATAGTAGAGAATAGAATACCAACTAAAATAAGGAAAATGCCACAAAAATTCAGGATCATTCAAATCTAGATGGCCAAGGTAAAGATAATGTCTGAACTAACTTTTTTTTTCGGACGCACAAATTAGGCTTGTCAGTATGTATCCCAACAGCCTCAGCACTATTTAGTAGTCGAACTCTTAAGGCGAAATTGAGGTTTGTTGGTATGCGGTAAGTGACTTCGAAAGTCTGGTTAACGTCAATCTTGTGTTCTGTATTCACAAGGTGAGATAGAAAGGCGCTTCGAAGAGATTTTGTTTGTCCGTTACTTAATCACACAGGGTGATGTTCGGAAATTCGACAAGAAGCACGCTTGATTGTTCGGCCTATGTAACTGGCTTTACAGGAGCAGTTTAATTGGTAGATGCACATGGAAGAGGCAGTTTGTATTTTACACTGTACTACTTGATATTATTATTATTTGTAACATACTGTCAAATTCTAGGCATCGTAGATAAATCGTAGTTATATTAACAAAACAACTGTGTTAGAAAAACTGGTTAGTGTTGTGTTTTGTTCGAAACGGACTAAAGTACCGAAACCGATAAACCAGACTATATGTGCCTCAGACTTTTCAAGTCTCGCATGTGTTTCATCTTGAACACCGTTCCTACCATATAATGGTATGAATTTTTAAAAGCTAATTTGTAGGGATTTAATTCGTTTCAAGTTAGAGACAGCTGTTTTTGTGCTACCAGTTCTGGACTCTTCGGTGGTACGCACCCAACTACTCCAGGGTTCGAACCTAGGTACTTGGGGTTACAAGGCGAGTTCATAGATCATTCAGCCGATGGGTCCATAATTTCTAAATTCTACCAATTCGTGATCTTAGCAAGTAAATTTTCTCTTACCTGATTTGGTGAATGATCCCACACAGTGGATACTGCTTCTCACTGAAACTCCAGGTTACTTCCTGGATAGAGCCTTTCACTAGTCAGTATTAGTTTGCAGGGATTTGATTGGTTACATGTTTGATAACCAGTTGACAGTTAGAGGAGCACTGGAAAACTAAAAAGGAGTACTGGGCAGTTGTTCTGTCTCAGTTTGGGACTCTTCAAAAGTCCGTACCCACCGAGAACTCATCGGCTATTGGATTGTGTCACAGTGGCTGAATGGTATACGAGCTCGCCTTGTTACCGGAAATACCTGGGTTCAAACCTCAGTGAGTGCGTACTACTGAATAGTCCTAAAGCAGAAAGAAACAGCTGTCCAGTACTTCCTGCTGGTTTTTTCCAATTTTTCGCTAACTGATATCAATCTGTGATCAATCTTAAAATGGTATTAATTCGCCTTTGTTTCGTATTTGTTTTTATTCACTATCATCTTTCTCAGTTGATCTAGTCAGAAGACGCTTGTATATCAGACAGTCACTCTCCGGTAACAAGTACAGTTGTATTTCCTCATTGTTTGTTAACCATCTATGTTCAAGGTTTTCATGTCAGTGTTAATAGCTGTTCCGTCTGAAGAACCCTAAGTCAATAAATAAAAGTGATATGACCCTGGGGAACTTTTTGTTTGTGTTAGTAGAAGTCTGCAGGTAATCAGGAGGATATTTATGTTCGTCAGTGCAATCATTGGATGTTCGTAATTTACTTGTGAAGGGATTTCATCAATACTATCACCCTAGGACTCCCCACTCATTGTTCACCATTCGAGTTCTAGTCAAGGGCCTGCCGCGCGATATCATTCGACAGTTTCCCCTCGGCCCATCTCCATTTTCTTCGGAATATTGGTTGAGAAGTCGGTTCATTCCCAGAGTGTGTTTCTCCTTGCTAATTCTTTCCGAGCAGCCATTTGATCTTCATTATGGAGCCAGAGGAGTGGGCAGTTGTTGATAAAAGTCTACACTAGCCTATTGGAAATTCTTTTACGTGATGCGCAGTACAAGTTTCTGATCCATGTAAAAGAAGTGATTGACTTAACATTAGTACTGGTAATCCGTATTTAGTTCTTTGTGTTGAGTGCAGTAGATGGCGAAGTCAAACTGTAAGCATCGGCATGTATCAACGGATAAAGGACATTGAACGCACCGACCATATGATACGGGCGAATTTTGCGCTTAAGGTACGTATATTCATGAGAATAATGAATTAAGAGGGATGAAACTGCTACACAAGATACCTTCCTCTGACTTGTGACAAAAATGCCTCGAAGTTTTGTATTGATGTATCAACAGAGTAGTTTAACCACATTATGTGCACGTAATTATCTAGTCTTCTAACCCTTATCTTTTCATAGCCTAATCCTAACGTGAAAGTACTCGTAATCACCCGACCGAAAGCTGCTACCTTGACGGTGGTCGGGCTTGAACACCGCAATGATCTATTCAAGCTATACTGGCTGAGACTTATGTCTCTTGAGGTCCTACCATGCCAGGCAGGTTGTTTGGATAGCGGTTAAACAAAAAGCAGCTACCCAATCCAACATCATGTCCAATACAAAATCACAAAATTTCATGCCGGATCGGCCGTGGCCCGGATTAACAACGACCGCGCTTCCTGCTGCCGTGTCACAGGGCAGGAGTGATAAATATGCTACTGAGGCACACCAAACAAAAGAGAACAAACAAAAACAGGCCGCGTGTGACCGGCCTCAAGCAGTTGTCCCCTGGGCTCTGCGGTCACGCAACCAACTTCCACGGTGTGGGCAGCCGGGAAGTAACAATCGCCCTCACAATCCGAAACGCACGCGAAACCTCTCTATTACTCACTCATCTTTGTTTTCATCTTCATCTCTATCATCTTGCCTTCCTTCCACTGATGCAACTCCTCGACT